TTTTCCTATATCTACTTAATCAGACTCACTGCAGTTATGACATACGTAATATCTATTTCCATCTATGCAAGCACGCGAGACCATTGTTTACAGCCCCCTCGACATTAAATTAACTTCTCTTTAGACCGACTTTCTGAATACGCCTCTAGACAAACAAGGCAATAAGATTCATCTTCTTCTGATGAATCTAGTGGTGTCGCCTTCTTTTTCGTCCATTTACCTTTCCAGACTGATCTTTTGCTTTCCTGTAGATGGTTAAAATACTTTTTCTTTGTTTATTTTTTAACCGATTCTGTTGTTCTTCACTCTCTTCTAATAGCTTCCTTTTCCGGAGTATTTGTGTAGATTGCAGACTTTTTGGTTTTTCGACCTCTAGTTCCCATTTTTCTAGCAGGAGCTTTAGGGTATGGCCGTAATGCCTCAGGCAAGAATACAGACTGTTTGATTGTAGATGGAAGAGGTCCTGTTTGCTGATGCAAGCATCACGAGAAGAGATGTTTGTTTCCAGTTTCGGTAAAATACCATCTGGCTCTTGATTAGTTTCTCCGGCAGTTTGTCTGGGTGGCATTTTCTCTACTTGATGTTCGCTGATTTGAGGCAACGCAAGTAATTGACTATCAATGACTGATCCGTTTTCAGGTCTGGCTGGATCTATTCTGCTGGATGAAGTGCGACCCTCATTCAATGATAAAGGTGATAGCGGTGGTCTTTTAGCATCAACTGCAAGTCTGATGTTATATTGATTAGAAGCGGCTATCTCTTCTGTAACGTTTGGATTTGGACTATCTGTCACGAACGACGGTGCGAAATTAACTTCTTGAAATAGGTCGCGGTTGAATGGATTCTTCTCCGCACCGCGTATAGCTTCGATAATATTCTAATTGTTACAACCGTACCCTGTTTCAACCGTACCCAGTCTACCCTACTACTACTAGTACTACTACTTATTCGCATCAATAACTACAATTGAGATGGATTTTAATTTTGGATTTCTATTAAACTTTATGTCTAAGTATTTTAATGTCTGTCGTATACCGTTTACCAACATAATGTATTTACTTGCCTGATATTGACCATATAGACTGTTTATTTTTATAATAAATTATTATGGTGTTCATTTTGTGATTTTTATTCCTATTGTTGTTTAATAGGTAGTACAAACGAAAAGTCCTACAATTTATATAGAGAGCGTTACTTTAATAATGTGAAATTCGTTAACTGGAGACACTGTGAGTTACATGCAAAGAGGTTAGAAAGGGTAAAGGTAACATAGGAAGCATTTGTCGCTGCGCGAATTTTGCCAAAACCAAAAATTGGGTGGAAGGAGTAGGGAGATGTTCTGGGCCGCACTTAAATATTTGTATTGTAGTACCTAATTTTGGTAGGTAACTAAAAATTATGAGACGTTTTAGACTTTATTTGTTAGCACGGATTCATTTATGATGAGGACAATAACACTTTATCAATATATAGCTAGTAGTTAAGGGCAGATTCCAACTTTGTGTTAAACGAAGTTTAAATTACTAAACGAAGATTAAAATGACATTGTTAATGTAAAAATGTAATTTTAATCTTCGTTTAGTATTTTAAACTTCGTTTATCAAAACCGTGAAATCGACCCTAAGTGAAAGTTTATAAAATTATTGTAACAAAATAGCTGTTGAGACAAAAAGTTATCGAAACAGCCAAAGTACTTTTTGCTAGAATTACACACAAGATTTTTTCTACGATCACACCAAAATAAAATAAATAATTAAATTTTATTAGAAATGGGTTACCTTTTCGTTCGTTATAATATTTTAAGTTTATTTGACAAAAGCCTACTCTACAAGAGAAAAAAATGTTTTGGAAAAAAATATTAGGAAGTCAATTAATAGCTATTTATGTAACCAATTACGAAATGCCTTATTTTGTGTAACGAGTTAATATTTGCTGAACGAGCGGAGCGAGGTCCCGCAAAATGAACGAGTTACACAAAACGACATTTCGTAACGTGTTTATATACAAGATATTTTCTAATTTTGACTTGATTATTAATAAAATTGTGTTGAAAAATGATTCAGTATCATTCTTTTGTTGGTACTTCCAATCAAATATTTCAGAAAATTGTTGTATTTGATTGTTGATTGCACTACGTTTTTTTTTTCAATAGTAATAATAAAAATAAGGGACATGTGCAGTCTTGCCGATCTGATTTTTGACATTACCCACGGTAAATTTGAAAAAAAAAGTATTTACCCATTATCCTTAAAGGAGAAGTTAAAATTTTACCCCAACATTTCTGGGCAGTTTTCAATAACGGTGTTCAATTATTTAAAAAATAAAACGCAATATACAGCTTTTTTTTTTGTTTTCTTTTTGGTTGTTAAACGTAATGTCATATTTTCAAATGTGAAATGTCACTATTCATTGCCTTTTTTCGATTTTTGGTTTTTTCGATTTTTCGTTTTCTGGATTTTTGGATTTTTCGATTTCTTGATTTTTCGACTTAAAACCAAAAGAGGCAGTTTTATTTTCATTTCGTTACTGGTGAAATAATCAACTTTTCGTAATCATTTGTTTAATGTTCTACTTTATGCAACTGGTTGCAAAATATTTAACATAAAACACATAATTTAAAAAATATTTTTCAAATTTTTCTGCATTTTGACTCTCATTTTGACTTTGAATAGGTAAACGTGATAAAAAATCGGCTTTATATTATGCTCCGATTTTACATATTCAATTTTATAATTGTAATTTGACAATATTACTGCCCATCTACGTAGTATATTGATTAAAAGTTGGGATATACCTTTAGCTGGTTTAAAAATGGTTACCAGGGGTAAGTGATCTGTAACTAGGATAAAGAAATGTCCATATAAATATTCATTAAATTTATTTAGGCCAAAAATTATTGCAAGGCCCTCTCTTTCAATTTGGGAATATTTTTGTTCGGACTTTGATAAGGTATGCGAAGCAGAAGTTATAGGTTTCTCAATATTTTTTTCAAAAACATGACATATCATGTCCCTTATTCCCACATTTGATGCATCTACGATTAATTTAATTGGCAACTCAGGCTGAAAATGCACAAAAACATCATTTAGAAAAGATATTAGAGAGAGTAATGGAAATTCAAATGAGAGGGTTTTTGAAAAACAATATATTACCTTGCAAACAATCTGGTTTTAGGTCAGGCTACAGCTGTGCCACAGCTCTAGCGGATGTTATAGATGATTTGATTAGAGCCATGGATAAGAACAAGATTTCCATCTTATTACTATTAGATTTCTCGAAAGCTTTCGATAATATAAATCATAAAATTTTACTTGACATGTTGAAGTTTTTTAGATTTAATAATACATCTGTGTCTCTATTAAAATCATATCTTTACCAGCGAAAACAAATTGTTCAAATAGATAATATGTCTTCCACACCGTTGGAGATTACATCTGGTGTACCTCAAGGTAGCATTTTGAGCCCTTTATTATTTACTCTCTATACCTCACAATTTCCAAGTATATTTAAATACTGTAATTATCATTTATACGCTGATGACACCCAATTATATTATTCTTTTAAGTACTCCAATTTAAATGAATCTATACAGCATATTATTTCTGATTTAAATGAAATCTTTAATGTATCTAAAAATCATTCACTAAAAATTAATCCTAAAACATCCAAGGCAATGATTTTTTGTAATAAGTCAATAAGGAATTCCGTAAACCCCGCGACATTATTAAAAATTAATGACGCGTTTATCCCAATTGTTACGCAATGTAAAAACTTAGGTTTGGAGTGAGGGTAGCCATATGTGGCTTATTACTGTCGGTATATCCCACTGATCTATATTATTTTACTGGATAGGATATAGCCCCCTAAAAAACGTTCCGAAAAATTGGCCGATTTGGGCAAATAATATGGCGGACCGGATGTTATTTAACGTAACCTCTATTTCCATTTGTCATCACATTTGTCATTTAATTGTGTCAACAAGCTACGATGAGATGTTTTTATTGTGGAAAACAAAGTAAAAAGAGTATGAAATAAACAATAAACGTTCATTCCTGAAGACACAATATGCTTCACGTTCCAATTTTTATATTTTCTTTCATAAAAAATCAAATCATGGGTGAAATTTCCCGAAGGACATCGCCCGCAGAAGGAATAGAAGAAGAATAAGAAGAAAAACTAATCAAATTATAGGTTAGGTATGTCAAATTATCCCAAATTTCAGTTCTGTGAACCCACCATAATTTGCCCAAATCGGCCAGCATTGTTGCACTTCCGGTCTCCTTGGTGGAACAATTTTTTAGTATGTTAAATATAGCCTATATCCTATCCAGTAAAATAATACAGATCAGTGGTATATCCCAATAAGTCAAGTTCGTTCGTGGCCGAGCGGTCTAACGCACGGGTTTTCGATTGCCAGACGCACCGATCGTGGGTTTTAATTCCCACGGCAATTTTTTTTTTATAATTAATCGAACTAAAAAGTGAAAAATAAATATAGTTTAAAAAAACAAAAAAAAACACGCTTTTAGAGCATATCAAACTAAAAAGGATTCCGCCATTGATTTGAACGTGTTAAGATCGCTCGAGTCTTTGTGAACGGATTTTATTGTTTTTCGAAGTGAATAATACAGTTTGTTTTTTCTTTGAATTCTTAAACACAAACTTTTTGGTGTTGTGCATCGAACAGTGCAATTATCTTTTGGAGTCGAGCAGGAGAAGGTCGTTTTCGACTTGATTATCGACATATTCTTTATTATATTATAAACGCTTTGCAGCGCTTATCTCTTAGTTTTTTACGTTTTGTATGAATATCGATAAAACCCAGTTTAACGACCTCGTTTAATCAGAAATTTTTCCGGCAACCAGTATTACAGACATGCTGTATATCTGGTTATCAGTTAGAAGGCACTTTAATAATTAATAATACACCCATTCCTGCTGCTTTTGACTACAAGGGCGGCAACTCTAGTCAACCTTCCCCTAATGTAACCATCAATACAATGATAGAAAGCAACAATAATGTACCTTCAGGCTCTTATGTAACAGCTGCAAAATCAAGACCTAAACCAGTCTTCCCAAAAAAGGAACAAGCAATAGTTATCCATTCACACCAGAATCTCGTTCTTTTCGATTATGTTAAGGCTATTGGTGATTTAGTCAGTCCAAAAAATGTTTGCTTTGCCTCAAAAATTTCAAACCACAGAATTTGTATCTATCTATCAAAAACTGAGCTGGTCGACCAACTCATAAGGGATCACCCAACTATATACGTAAACTCACTGGCTTTACCAATAAGAAGATTAGTTACTCCAGCGAAGCGAATATTAATATCGAATGTATGCCCCTCAATACCTGATGAACTAGTTGAAAAAGCTTTAATTGATTTTGGACTTCATCTAGTTTCACCCATATCTTTCCTGAAAGCAGGCATCCCAGGAGATGAATATGCACATATCATGAGCTTCAGACGGCAGGTTTATGTCACCCCAACTAACGACAACTTTGAGCTTCAAACATCTTTGCTATTAACACACGATAACACTGCATACAGAATTTTTTTGTCCACGGACAGAATGGAATGTTTCCTCTGCAAACAACATGGACACATAGCTACTAAGTGCCCAAATACAAATACAACCACTCCCTCTCTCTCACAGAACTCTCAACCAATCCAAGTATCTAACACAATCTCCACAACTTTAACAGATTCTCAACAAAATGAAATGCCACCTCCATCTTCGCATGACGCAACAGTCATCACCTTGCCTATTACACCTACAGAAGATAACCAGTTAACATCATCATTTATAACTCCTAGTCAAAAAAGACCCCACTCGCCCTCCTGTGATACAATTTCTCTCTGTGAATCACAAAGTGTTGATGGACTTGATGTCAATGTTAACATTATGCCTCCTCCAAAAATTCCACCCACCAACTGTAATGACACCACCAAGGCTATTAAAAAGAGGGCAAGGAAGGAATCATCAGAAGAATTGAGCTTATCGGATAGCACGAAGGACGCCATTCATAACCTACATAAGGCAACTCCGAAAGATTTCACTCTTTCTGCAGATCACATAATATCTTTCCTCGAAAATTCTTTTGGAAGCAGTAATCCTTTGCACGAGGCCCAGCAATTCACTAAAGATGTCGAAGGCCTATTAAACGACCTGCAGCAAATATATCCATGCTTAATAGAAACATCAATAAAAAATAGACTTACAAGACTTTCTAAAAAAATAAATAAATGTTTACTTGCAGAAAATACTAGCATGGACACGCTATCGCAACAATCAGATGATTACCTTTCAGACTCATCACAATCATCTCAAAAATCAACCTATTAACTTACTCAATTGTTTCCTTTTATACAAATCATTTTCACGTTAATACAATGGAATTGCGACGGATTTTATCCGCGCTATGAACGTATCCAACAACTAATTGCTGAAACAGAGGCGGACATTATTTGCATACAAGAGACTAATTTTAAAGAAACTAATCCAGGCCAACTCAAAAATTTTGTGAGTTATCATCACATCAGAAATGAATATATTAGAGCCAGTGGCGGCACGTCAATTTTTGTTTCTAGAAATTTATACTCAACGAATTATTTGCTAACTACCAACCTCGAAGCGATTGCAGTATCTATCTGGTGTCCTACAAAAATTACTGTTTGTAGTGTCTACATACCCCCTAATTATAATCTTACAGAAGTAGAACTATTTGACTTAATACACCAACTTCCTAGTCAATTTTTATTGGTAGGTGACTTCAATGCCCATAACACCTTATGGGGTTCAAATAAAACTTTCGGAAAAGGAAAAATTATCGAAAATGTTTTAAATTGTTCCAATGCTTGTATATTAAATTCCAGATCCAGTACACACTTCAATATTTCCTCCGGTACCTTCTCTTCAATAGACCTAAGTTTTTCTAATCCAAAAATTGCAACATAACTGGAGCACCCTAGAGAGCCTTTTTGATAGCAATCATTTTCCGATAAAAATTACTAATAAAGAAAGTCATGCTACAAATAATATTACAAAATGGCGAATTGCCCACGCAGATTGGATTGGTTTTCGTGCTTATACCGAAAGACATCTACCACTTATTACCGTATCCGAGGATATCGACCAATATTTAAAACTTCTCGTTAATTGCATTACGTCTGCAGCAGATATATACATCGGCAAAACTTCTGTTCCTAATAATAGGAAAAGGGTCCCATGGTGGAATTCAGATTGTCAAGACGCAGTAAGCCATTGTAAACAAGCATTAAATAGATACCGCAGAACCAGGGCACAGGAAGACTTTATTCATTTAAAAAAATTAAAGGCTAAAGCTAAGTACGTATTAAAGCAAAGTAAAAAATCTTCGTGGAAGGATTATGTCTCAACCTTAACATCAGATACTTCGTCAACCCAAGTCTGGGCAAAAATTAGACAAATGCAAGGCCGTAAATCAAATTTAAGAATTTCGAGCGTACATTATCAAGATAATGTGATTAATGATAGCCAAAAAATTGTAAACATATTAGCAGATGCTTTTGAAAACAAATCCAACATTCAAAATAAACACACTGTGCAATCTGAACAACAAACTGAAGCACCAAAATTATTTCCAAGTAGCATTGCCCAAGATAGTGCTTCCATTAATCTGCCATTTACCTCAGAAGAATTGTTAAAGGCACTCAGTTCTTGCAAGAATACTGCAGCTGGCCCTGATGATATACCATTTGTTTTCCTTAAAAATTTGTCTACTCTCAGTCTTGATATCTTATTAAACTTCTTTAATATGATTTGGAGCACTCACAAGTTTCCATCGATGTGGCACGAATCCCTTGTTATTCCCATTAAAAAGAATACCGATGAAAAATCAAATTATTCGAACTCATTTAGACCTATCTCGCTTACATGCACAATGTGTAAGCTTATGGAAAAATTAATTAATAAAAGACTGATCTGGTTTCTTGAAAAGTATAAAATTATCTGTGAATTTCAATCAGGATTCAGACGACATCGATCGACGGTAGATAATTTAGCCCTTTTACAGACACATATTGCTGATGCTATGACCCAAAAACAAGACGTAATAGCAGCCTTCTTCGATATTGAGGGAGCGTTTGACTGCATAAGAAAATCTGTTATACTTCATAGGTTCCAAGAGTTTAAACTAAGTGGAAATATCTATTGTTTCGTTCAAAACTTTTTAGAAAAAAGATCCTTTAAAGTCGCAGCTAATGGAAAAATATCCTCACCCCATAAACAACTTAATGGAGTACCCCAAGGCTCTGTCTTGAGCACAACTTTATTTATTTTGGCAATCAACGACTTAGGTTCTACTTTTCTTCCGCCAGTGAAGTACGGGTTGTATGCTGATGATCTTGTAGTCTACTGCAGGGGAAAAAACACCAAATCAACATGCCGTTTACTACAAACTGCCATTAACGACCTCAGTACATGGTCCCAAAATATCGGACTAACTTTTTCATCTAAAAAAACCAAAATCATCAAGTTTAGTAGAAGAACCACCAGTGAAATTCCACACCTAACTTACAACGATGTCCCCTTATCTGTCGTCAGTCACCATAAAGTTTTAGGACTAACCTTTGACTCAAGACTGTCTTGGAACAAACATATACAAGATGTCAAAAGCAGCTGTATGAGAAAACTCAACATACTAAAATCTCTATCTCATTTTCAATGGGGTTCTGAAGAGGATGTACTACTTACAGTCTACAGATCTCTGATACGGTCCAAATTAGACTACTGGAGCATCATTTACATGACCGCATCAAAGACTAGTCTGAAAAGCCTTAATACTGTCCATAATACTGCTCTTAGGCTATGCATTGGTGCTTTTAGATCAAGTCCTATTCAAAGTTTATACTGTGAGGCCAGAGAACCCCCACTTTGGCTAAGACGTCAACACCTTCTCCTCTCATATGCAGCTAGTGTATCTGCCAATCCACAAAATCCAGCATATTCGATACTCATTCAACCAAATCACATAGTACCTAACACACAATCGATTAGAAGAGCTCAACCGCTACCTAATATTCTCAAAGCTCTACTGGGCAATTTTGATCTTTCCAGAACTACCCCTTTATCTGTTTCTGTAATTCCACCATGGACTAAAAAATTACCACATATAAACACTTTATTAAGCATATTTAATAAGGCTGAGACACCACGTGAAATAATCCAACAAACATTCCTAAGTATCATCCATAAAAACAATTTCAACACAATTCTTTTTACTGATTCCTCTAAAAATGAATCAGGTGTTGGTAGTTCTGTTGTCACATCCACTAACATCAATAAGTTCATTAAACTTCCTTCCACATGTAGCGTACACACTGGGGAACTATATGGCATATTAGAAGCATTCCGGATGTTAACATCCAATGATCGTAATACTGCAATCTGTACAGACTCACTTTCATCGATCCACTCAATTAAAGATGCTTTCTCGGAACACCCCTTAGTTAACGCAATTCATGACACCTATTCCAACCTCGTGACAAATGGAGTGTCCGTCACTATCATTTGGATCCCGTCTCACGTTGGACTTAGCGGTAACGAAGCAGCTGACCGTGCAGCCAGAGAAGCTTCCACATTGGACGTACCGGCTGAAGATATTCACATATATAAAGATATCAAGAGTGTGTTTAGAAAAACAGTTCATGACAATTGGCAAACACACTGGAATATGGAGACCACACAGTTACGAAACATACAACCCATTATTGCTTCCCCCAGATTATCCTCTTTGTCCAGAACAAATGCAGTCATAATAAGAAGACTACGAATTGGACACACTAAACTTACTCACAGCCACTTGATGACAACCAGTGAGGCACCCATATGCACCTACTGTGATAGTGTTTTGACTGTAAAACATATTTTGATAGACTGTGACCACTTTTCCGAACAAAGAAGACGAAACAAGCTGAAATCAAGACTAGCAGAAATATTAGGGGAACCTACAGAATACCAGTGCCTTTTCAGTTTTTTAAAAGACGTTCAACTTTTACAAAAAATTTAAATCAAAGTAATTTTATGAAAACAATATTGTAAGACCACTCTGTAAATAATTGTAGTTGTGTCAATGACATCAGCAGTCGAGACACGTTAATTTTAATAAAAAAAAAAAAAAAAAAAAAAAAAAGTTAAAAATAATTTTTCAAATAAGCTTAAGGCCAAGTTCAATTTCGTTTGACATATAATTACGATTTTTTTTAGGTTAGAAAATTGTATTATCGATTTGCCATTTCTCGATTTTCTAACCTTACATTTTCTCCTTATTATTTGTTAAATCACCTCAGTGTATCTTTACCAAAGTTAGGTAAGGATTTCTTGCAAAATAAGTAATTTTGATTAAAAGAGTAAAAATAGACCGAGTTGTTTTTACTTCCCCCTATTTACCCTAAAATCCCCTGTCTGTCCGTCATCTCTTTCAAAAACCTGGTAACCCTGATCTCTTTATGTCAACAAATATGTAACACGATAAATTTATAAAACGTATGTCACTAATGAATATGTGGCGGCAACTGACGGCAACACTGTCAGCTACTCCATGGCTACTAGAGTACATAAAGGTCCGGTATAAGCCATGGAAAATAATAATTTAATGTTTTGATTGAGTTAAATAAAATATCAAAATTAAATGTTTATTTTTAAGTAAACGACATTCTTAAATTTATACGTCTTCAATCAAAAATAATATAGGCTAATACTCAAGTGTATACGAGTGTACTGGACAAGATAATTTTACCCTTTACTCCCGTTTTTTTGTGATGAAACCAACGGTAAAATTGATATTTATGTACCAAGGCTGTGTTTTGGCCGAATTAGACATATGCGTTCGAGTCTAAGCTAGTTCTGGTTAAGTATAAGAGTAATAGGCAAGAAACGGGTGTTCAATCAAACTTGACATCGAGATAGATGTCACATAACTGACGATGAACTTTACCGGACCAAGATCAGATAGGTATAACACTTGATATTCTGAAAACTATGTGGATACTACACTGAATAAGAACGAATGGAAGTGTCAGGAGGCTAAAGGCAAAAAATAAACGGAACAGAGCCGAATAGATAGATAAG